GGAGAAGAAAGTACAGTCAAGGTGCTTCTTAGAGGCAAGGATGATGAGACTTCATCTCATATACATGGGGCAGGTTGTCAGGAGGAACTAGTCCTTTGAAAAAGACATTATGCTTTGAAATGTCAGTAAAAGAGAGGAAGATTCTTATTGAGATGGATTGGTATTGTAAAAATGGGCTTGAGCATAGCAGAGATTGTAAGAATAACATAGGATAAGAGAAATTTTGATCCGTCATTCATAGAGTCCTCATGAGTTGTAATCTAATTGGTGACATATAATAACCAAAGGATACAGCATAAGTACTAACTTAGATATCACTGTATGGCATTGTATCTTCAACAGGAGGAATATATGATCTGTGCAAGCAAGAATGGTTCAATCACCACCACTCCATGGACTCACCAGTGAATTCTGAGCTGTTTAAGAGTTGGAGGTCCTGCTCTCCAAGAGTTTACTCTCTTGTTGGGCCCACACAATAGGGGGTCCCATTAAACTCTAAGCTACAACTATCGCCAGGGCGTTTTCCATGCAGAGCATCCAGCAGTCAGTAGGAATGTCATGGTATTCAGAATTGTCTGTGTCGTCTCTACAGAACTTTGTGCTGCTAAACCAATGATAGCTAGTTAGAATTCACCAGTTGTTCATCAGGAGAAAGATGGATAATCTCTTTTGGTGCCATTTGTTGTTGTTAGGTGTCATTGAGCTGAATATTACTCATAGTAACCCTATGAGCAATGGACCTAAACCCTGCCCTATCATGCCCCATCCTCACCCTCCCTGATATATGAAAACTTATTGCTATAATCACTATGCTGATTCATCTTGTTGAAGTTATTCCTCTTTTCTGTTTATCTTCTACCTTTCCAGCGTGTTGTCTTTTCCCAAGGATTGGTCCCTCTCAAACACATGCCCAAAGTATGTGAGATGAAGTTTCATGATTCTTGCCTCTAAGGAGCTCCCTGATTACACTTTCTCCAAGACATAGCTGTTAGGGTTTTTGGCAGTTCATAGGCTATTCAGTACTCTTCTCCAACACTCAAAGTCACTTATTCTTCTTTCATACTTCTTCACTGTTCAACTTTCAGATACTTAGAAAGTAACTGAAAAGACCACAACTTGAATTAGGAATATCTTAGTCTTTAAGCTGACATTGCTGCTTCTTTATCACCTTGAAGATGGTCTTCCCCAAAACAACATATCTTTTAATTTCTTGACCTCTAATTTCAAAAGTAGCTGTCAAAATGTGACAAGGGAACACTGCATAGTTTAAAATCAGGAAAGATATATCCCAGGGTTATATGCTTTCTCTATACCTATTCAACTTGAGCAAATCATTCAAGAAGCTGGACTCTTATGAAGTATAATGTGGTATCAGAATAGGAGAAAGACTCATCAACAACGTGTGCTATGCAGATTGCACAACCCTGATTGCTCAACTTGAAGCAGATTTGAAATGCTTTTTGCAGAATATCATCTATCAATATCAATATCGGAGTATCAATATTGACTGCAATAATTTTCACCAAAGCAACATTTTGATAGATGGAGAGGAGATTGAAGTTGTCAGTGATATCATCTTACTTGGATCCACAATCAATACCCTTGATACATTTAGGAGATCAGGAAATATACTGCATTGAGCAAGGCTGCTGTCAGGAACCACATTGAAATTACAGAAATGCAATGATGTAAATTTGAATATTAAGGTTCACCTGATTCACACCACGGTATTTTCAATAAGCTCAACAGTGAATAAAAGTAACAAAAACATTGATGCCTTTGAACATAGTGTTAGAGAAGAGTACTGGATATTCTAATTGCCAAAGAACAAACTGATGTCTTAGAAGTGGTATAGCCAGAATGCTCCTTGGAGAAAAGGATGACAAGGCTTTGTCTCACATACTTTGAGTATGCTATTAAGAGAGGCTATTCCATGGAGAAGGATATCACACTCGGAAACTTGGAGAGTCAGTGATAAAAAGAAGACTCTTGAGATGGATTGACACAGTGACTGCAGCTATGGGTTTGACTGGTTCAGAGATTATGAGGATATCCCAGGATAGTACAGGGTTCTACAGTTCATAGTGTCACGATGAGTTATATTTGACGCGACGGCATCTAACAACAACAAACATTCCAAGGGCTGATTGTGGATTTAAGTAAGATGAAATGTTTGACCACTCATCATATTATCACTCATGATGTCTTTAGGCCCAGTGGTGAGGATTTTTGTTGTCTTAATATTGAGCTGTAATCCATACTGAAGGCTGCAATCTTTGATTTTGTGCAACAAGTGCTTCAATTCCTCTTTATTCTCAGCCAGCAAAATTGTGTTATCTGCATAATGCAGGTATCTGATGAATTTCTCTCCAATCTCAATGCCACATCTTTCTTACAGTAGAGCATCTTAAATTATTTGCTCTGCATGCAGATTAAATAGGTATGAATAAGGCTACAGTCCTGATGCACACCTTTCTTGATTCAAAACCTTGCTCAGTTTTCTTTCTTTGGACAATGGCCTCCTGCACTAGATATGGGTCTCACATGAACAAAAGAAGGACCAGTAGCATTTACAGGCTCTGAAAACCCACTGGGGAATCAAGTATGAATCAGTTCAGATTCAATCAGTCCAAACTCAAACTCAATAATGAGTTTCTTTCCTTCCTTCCTTCCTTCCTTCCTCCCTTCCTTCCTTCCTTCCTTCCTTCCTTCCTTCCTTCCCACCATTTCACACTCTGGAGCAAGGAAAAATAGATGTGGAATTCAAGAGATCCACGAGAGTGCTTCTTGACTCCCTTACCCAGTAGTATCTGAGTAGCAATCCCAAATTAAGAAGGTTATGATTGCCAAGGGTGAAAATCTCTATGAATGAAAGTTTATACCACTAGGCAAGTCACCCTTGATATACGTGAAGGCAATATTTGGACAGTGGACATCATTATGAATATTAGTTGAGGGCCCAAGACCAGTAAGAAAAGTCCATAGGCAATATCAAGAAGGTATAATATGAACATTATCATGACTTGATTAAACTTTGAATGAACCATTAAGTTTGTAACAGGCCAAATTTCTCCTTACACCTGCTTTCTTTTTTTCTAAAACTGAACACAGTAGATATACTAGAACTGAGTCATTCTGTTTCGTTTTGAGAGTGGAGAATATCTTTCTCATGACAAGCTTCGACAGAGGACATCTCAATGGCTTGTCAGAAATTTTGCAGAATTCAAACAATGTAGTTATGCAAAGAGAGAAAAAAAGATTGCTTTTCATGCTTGTTGTTGCTGTTATGTGATGTCAAATCAACAACTCATAACCACCCTATGCACAATAGCTCTGAACTTTGATTTATTCCTGAGCCAATCTCACTATCTCTGACATACCTACCCTAATTATCTTTGTTACTGTGTCAGTTCATCTCATCTGGAGTCTTCCTCTCCTGTGGTGTCCCTCTTCCCATCCAACAATGATGTCCTTCTCCTAGTCCCTCCAACATGCCCAAAGTATGTAAGATAGAGCTTCAAAAATCCTTGCCTCCAAGGAAGAGCTTGGCTTCCCTCTCTCTCGAGTTATCCTGGTTTTTTTCTCTTGCTAGTCCATGGTATGTTCAATACTCTTCTCCAGCTATTCTTCTGCTATCTTTAGTCATTGTCTAGCTCTCTGATGCATAACAAGTAATTGTGAACGCCATGGCCTGAATCAGGAGCACTTTAGTCTCTAAACACCCTAGAGAGGTCCCCAACAGCAGATTTTCCTAATTAATCTTTTGATTTCCTGACTGCTGGTGCCAACAGTGTTGACTGTGGAACCAAGCAAACTGAAATTATTCACAATCTTAATCTCTCCTCTAGCTATCAGGATGTTGCCATTTGGCCCAGTGGTGAGAATCTTTGTTTAATTGATACTGAACTTCAATCCATATTGCAATCAACAGTCCTTAACCTCTACAGCAAATGCTTCAGGCCCTGTGTTTTAGTCAGCAAGATTGTGTTATAACCATAATGCAGGCTATTAATGAGTCTTTCTCCAATCCTGATGTTGTTACATTCCTCCTCATAAAGTCTAGCCTCTCAAATGATCTGTTCCACAAATCGACTCAAAGGTATGGAGACAGGCCATACTGCTGTACTCCTTTCCTGATTTTGAACAGTGTTTCCTTGCTCTGTTCTGACCTGGTTCAGGTATAAGTTTCACATAGGCATAATAAGGTGTTCTGGGATTCCCATTCTTTTCAAGATTAGCTACAATTTGTTGTGATCCACACAGTCAAATATACCTTTGTTTAGTTCATGAAACACTGATAGATATTCCTCTGGTACTCTCTGCTTTCAGCCAAGATCCATCTGACATTTGTGATGATATCCCTAGTGCCTCTTCTAAAATAGGCTTTTCTTTCTGGTAGTTCTCAGTCAATGTACTGTTCCAGTTATTTTTTGTATGATCTTCAACAGGATCTTGCTTGTGTGTGGTATTAGTGATATCGTTAGATAATCTCCACAGTCAGATCACCTTTTTTTGGAATGAGAATAAATATGGATCTTTTCTACAGAGATGCTTAACTATGCCTAAAAAAATGTTGTTTCCCATCAGTAGTAATGCTTAACTACCCTTAGTGCTGTGGTGCCCTAGTGGTAAGAAGCTATGCTTTTAACCTAGGCATGATTCCAATCCAAAACCTAGGTGATCAATGCTTTTGGGTTTCGTGACAAGCATCTTGCCCTTCCATCTGCAGCTTCTTTGCCCTCACTTAGGTGGTTAGACCATGCCTAATTAGCATTCCCTTCTGGACCAGGATGTTCCTTTCAAAGGCGCATGGCGTTGGCGTGACGCATCCTCCATGCAGAGTTGTCCAGCAGGCAACACGCGCCACCGCTTCTGCCCTGCGCGCTGACAGGCGGTGGAGCGAACACCCCAGCGAGGCCCCGAGGGGCGTCACGGAGGCGGCAGCAGCGAAGGCCCTGCTTCCGCCGGCGCTCGCCGCACGCACGCGCACTGCGCCCAGCATGAGGGTCGCTGCTCTGATCAGGTAACTCAGCGCCCATGCTGCCTCCCACAACTTCTGCTAGCATTTCGTCCATCCTGGAGATGGACGGAAACTGCCGCTGGAGCAAAAAGAGAGGGCGACTCTGTATGAACCCCAAGTCGGGGACTCTGCTCTTGGCCACAGGAAAAGGCGGAGCTTTTGGTCTATTGCCCAGCCTCTCAGGTCCCCTAGACTGGGCTCCTCCTCTTTGCCTGTCACCACTACTCTGGTCATTAAGCTTGAGTGCACTTTGGGTTCACTCGGGGAGCTTTGAAAATCCTGTTTCTATTTCAGATTCCCCTAAGGCTGATGAGTTAGTTTGGATGCCGCTCGTCTTTGGATTTTTAAAATCTAACGGGCAACAAAGTTTTACGAGCCTCGGTTTTTATTTCACTTACTCAGCGATCTCCGTTTCTTTTGTTGTCCCTCCTCCCCATCTTCATCCTTTTTTAGAGTTCCCTTCAGACTTTTTGCTAAATCCTGCGTTCCTAGATCCTTCCCTACCTCTCTCCTAATTACCCTTGACCCTGTTTCACATGGTTTAGGCGCTACTCCTTCCCTTCTGTAACTTCTGTGAGGCTTGGAAGGTGAAACATGTTAATTGCTTACGATTTTACGATAGATCATTTTAAATAGTTTACAATATAAAGTATAACTAAATATTACAGTACAGGGAAAACAGTTTTGTTATCTTTACTTTGATAAGCACATTAACATGTTGTTGTTATGTGCCATCGAGTCGCCTGCGACTCATAGCGACCCTATGTACAACAGCCCTAAACTCCGCTCTGTCCTGTGCCAGTCGCACTGTCTCCGACACTCCCATCCCAATTATCCCAGTCACTGAATCAATCCACCTCATAGAGGGCCTTCCTCTGCTG